GGCCGGCGGGCACACTGGAGCGAGCTCTGGGCTTGCCACATTATCGTCCTTCGGGCTTGCCACATTAACGTCCTTCGGGCTTGAGTGAGTCGCGGACGGCGGCGGACTGGTTCTGGCTCGGGACCGGACACTCCCCAGACACCGGAAGACACCTTCCCTCCAACTTAGTCCAGTGGTGTCTGGGAGGTCCACGGGGCGATGGTAGTTGGCCCCGAGCCAGAACAGCTGATTAAGGACGGCGTCCTCTAACGCCGTCACCGCTGCGAACTTGCAGAACTCCCCGGCGTACTCGTAGAAGGGGAGATCCCGGCGGGATATGGTGAGGAAACGAGCAGCGATCTCCATGTTGTTGTTTTAGGTCGGTTATTCTGTCACGGAATCAGGTGTGTGGAGGCAGGCAGGACGACGAGGACGACAAGGATTCCAATAATGACATTTATTGTAGACACAACAAGGCAGGTTCAGGTAGGTGAGACACACACTCGGGGTAACATTAACAATAACCGACACCAATGCTCAGACAGACAGGAACTAATATGGGGTGAATAATTAGAGGCAGACAGGTGAGCACAATGACGGTGATTAACTAATGATTAGACGGGCTAAACCAACACAAAGGGAAGAAACCACAACAAACAGTCCACAGGGGCGTTACAGTAATATTGTGAAATAATTTTTTTGCATTTTAAAACTGTTTTCTATTTGAGTATGTTAATATGTAATTTATTCCTGTGATGCAAAGCTGAATTTTCAACATCATTACTCCAGTTCTCAGTGTCACATGATCCTTCAGAAATTATTTATTTTTCAAGATTCTTTGATGAATAGAAAGTTCAAAAGAACAGCATTTATTTGAAATAGAAGTTTTTGTACATTATAAATGTCTTGTCACTTTTGATAAATGTAATGCATCCTTGCTGAATAAAAGTATTAACTTCTTTTGAACACTATACAACTGAACATTATTTAAATGCAATTATATATTTTCTGTAACTTCACTATTATTATACATAATAATAGATCTTATTTAAATACTTTATTACTAAGCAAAAACATTGGGCAGAGGTTGAAAATGAAAACCAAACAACATTCAAATCCTTTTTACTCTCCTGCGTCATGTCCACTTGCACAATATCTCCACATCTAAACTAAATGAGCAGGTTATTTGCATATTAACTGTAAATGTCAGCGCATTCTTCTGCTCTTTGTTTCAGAGCGCACACTTGCCTCAAAGCACTTCACTCTGAATTTGTCAAGACTGGGTGGTTCGCATTTTTGCCATCATTTGCCAAATGTAAAAGATGATGATGAAAGATATTGCAGTCACCCGTGATGACAGGAGATTAACAACAATTACTGACGCTTCCCGCCAAATCATTAGCTTAATTAAGGATGTGCATTAAAGTCCAATGTGAGATTGTAGGATTTTAAAATGTCCTTGAGCCTGAGAAAAAAATACTTCTTCATATTGCCCAATATTATTAAACAATTAGATGTCACTGAAAGACAACAGTGGTCTGTGGTCAGCTACCTTGAAGGCGATGGGCAGCGTCTTGTTGCAGCGCCAGTGTGTTGGCAGGACAGAACAGAGGAAATTGGGGCTGTCAGTGCGGACCAGCTCTCCTGGGTGGTCGGAAAGCACCTCCACCATGCTTCGGTCAGCCATGCGCAGTTTGCCCACCAGGGCAGCGCCGCTGTTCTCCTGAGCCCCTAGGGGCAACCCTTCATTCATCTTCCCCGAGCTCAGGGTGGTTGAGGGAGGCGTGAAGCGTCGCCCAGGCGCAGGTTCTGAAACACAAACGTGCATTAGGCTTTTTACTAAACGTATAGAAATAAATTCCTCAATAAGAAACATTTTACAATATATCACATTTGCAAAAAGTAAATCTCATATGTGTCATTGTAGCATTGTTCGGCACTGTATTACTAGGCAGAATAAATACTTCTAGTAAAATTGACACTTTCGGCCTGAATTACAGTGATTTTACTTTGAGTTGGGCCACAAAAACAAAACATATTGTTGGTCGCAATCTACAGTATATCTGAGTGGTTTCAAAAAATGTATTTTAATATATATATATATATATAATTTTTTTTTTTTTAACAGCCCCAAATCTAAAGTGAGACTGAATGAGCAACATTCGATGCTTTTAACTATAAGGCTACATATGCACACATGACCACATGTGCACCAAGATGCTGCATTGCTCAGCACTTTATTACTAGACAGAATAATAATTTCTAGTAAAATTCATTATTTATTAAACATTGTCATCTTAAATGAGAGCAATAAGACACTTCGTCCCCTTGGAATTGTAAGGTTCTATCTGACATTTTTGTCAAAATTGAGTTATTCACATATTCTTATTCTGTGACAACTTATTTACATTATGTGATAGCTTTTTAAATGTTGTGTACATTTTGGGACTTTTTATTTAAAAAAACAAAAAAGTTCTATCTACACAGTCGAATGGAATGTAAAAACTTTGAAGCTCAAAATCTCAAAACTACTCGGAATGCAGATAGAACCTTATAATTCCAAGGGGATGACTTTCTGCCATGTATTACAGTGATTTTACTTTGAGTCGGGACACAAAATGACTACTTAACCCTAGTAAAATAATGCTAATGCACGGATACAATTAGAAAAATTTACAATATATCACTTTTGAAAAATTAAGTATGAAATGTTGCATTGCTTAGTACTGTATTACCAGGCATAAAAATCGTTTCTAGTATAATTGATTGCTTATTAAACATTGGTATCTTAAATAAAGGCAATAAGACACTTTCAGCCTTGTATTATAGATATTTAATTTTTATTTTTTTAATTAGAAGTATTAGTTTTAGTTAGAAGTAAAATCACTTCAATGCACAGCTTCTCATGCCTTATTCCTTCATTTACATCCTATTTTACTGTACAATATCTCATTTTATGCAGCTATGCTCAGTGTATGCTTCTGCGTTTTTAGTTTTTGTCATGCCCATAAACTAAATAAAAAATAAAAAAAACTTTTTCCAAGCAACTTCCGGTGCCCATGCAGCAGCAGCAGTGTCTTGCAGGCATATGAAAGTATTAAAACCGTCAGACAGCGCTGCGGCCCACAGTCATTCAGCCAACCACAATCAATGCCACATGAGTGTGGTTACACACGTTACAGCGCTGCGCACAGTGAGCCACTGCGTTCTCTCCAAACCCACCGCGAAATATAAACACAGACACAGTCACTACATCAGGCTAAAACTGGAGTTTGTTGATGGGTGTTTGGGGTGAGTGAGACGAGGTGTAGAAAACAGAGAGAGATGCATTTTAAGACAGAATGCACAAAACACAGCACAAATTCGGGAAGCCATACACTTACACACATAGGCAGACATATGAGACTTTGAAAAGAATGAAAATGCAAAGACTTATTGTTACAGCACAGTATGTGGGATGAAAACTAGATTTTTAAACAATGTCTTCTTTTGTTCTGAAAACACATCTATCAAGCTCTTAAAAATATAATCTTTATATTCAAGTCGTTTTCAAACATTTTCTACACACATTCTGACTTAATGAAAGTAATTTTCATAATCACAGACTAATATAATAATTGTTCATTCATATTTTTCCTAGTAAAAAAAACATTTACATAACATGTAATATCATACATGAACATCAAGAAGATTCCATTTGACCTGAATATAAATTAAAAAAGGTCAAATATAATATTAAAAAAATAATAATTAATGACGTTGACACACAGTCAGGAGGGTCTATGGAGGTCTTCTCTCTCTCTCTCCCTCTCTCTCTCTCTTTCACACACACACACGCACACACACACACACACACACACACACACACACACACTTTTGACAACATAATGATTTCCATCATTTTGGTTGCACTACACTGACTTTAATTCACTTGACATTTTTAAAAACGTAATATTTTTTAACACTACAAAAACTATAAATATCAAACTTACTTAATTCAGGAATTAAAAAGAAGTTTATCATGGAAAATATGTACTTCTGTTACAAAAAAAATAGTTGTTTTTTTGTGTAAATATTTTTAATGAATTTCTAGATCAGCTTATTTGTTCTGACCTCTCATATTTAATCTTATTTTAATCTCTTTCCTATTAAATGACTCAAATTGAATACGTTTTTCATAAACTTATTTATTTTTTGTTCATTTTGCTGATTCATTTCTCATTTTAACGCAATTTCCTTTGTGTTTTGCATATATATGCTTTGGCATTACAACGGCAGTTTTTGTCGTGCCAATAAAGCAAAGTGAACTGAAGTTGAGACAGAGTTCTGCAGAGTTTTTGACTGTCACATTTGAGTTTGTTGGAATGTCACATTTACCTCATGGGTTAGGTGATGGTTAAAGGTTTCAGTTATTATCAACAGCTATGAACATGCAGACAGTATGAAACCTTACGCGTAAAAATAGACTCGTGAAACCGCCGTTACGCAGAGCTGAGAAACGCTCTTACCGTATTTGGCGTCCCAAAGAAAAACCATTTGGTATCTTTTGAACACCCTCTCAGTCAGGATCAGAATCCAGGGCTCCAGACGAGCTGCTGATTCGGACGCACGCTGATCAAGGGTACGAGCTCAAGCGCGACGTGGAAAGTTCGCACGTCTTACTATCCTTTTGGTGATGTGGAAGCCCTGCCGTTCAGTCTTAACTGAACTTTAAACAGTTTATGTAGATGTTGTTCCTCTTTCAGCAGGAGTCATCAGAGAGGATGATCTAGCGCTTGAGTATCCTTGAGAAAGTGCGCGTAAAGTCGCGCACCTTACTGACCGCGAACCTGACGCCAACACTGTCAGTCTTTAACTGTCTAAAAAGTGCATTCAGTCTATTCTATAAAACTGTAAGCTTTTGGGAGAAAGTATTCTTCCCGAATCCAGAACGCGCGGTCGCAATGAGAATGATGATGCGTTGTGAATGAATCTCCCGGCAGCGACGCGCTTTTACTGGCAATGGGCAGCGCAGGAACGCCAGCCAGGAGAGCTCATTTGCATACGCCTCCCCCCTAAACGTTCTCATTGGTCAGCGATGACAGACCTCGACGGGCTCGACCAATCAGAAGACCGTCCGAATCGGGGGAAAAAAAAGGATTTGAGCAATCAATGGAATTCCTTTCCAACTCGTCAAACGGTTGATTCATTGTTGAATTGTTCGGATTTAAGTTACTTATCAAATGGCAGATGAAATGTAGTGTAAACTAAAACCAAACAGTTTGTTTAATTAGATTATATTCTAATCATTTTTTGTTTTACATCATTTCAAGAAATCATTTACATGATTTTTCATGGTTTACATGAACTTACGGTGTAAGTTCGTCTTGTACCAGCAGATGTTGTTTTGTGTTTTGTCAGAAGAAACATTATATCAGCAGAACAAGAAGAAAAGTTCCAAAACACCATCCTAACCTGATGTGATGCTAACTTATGACTTATGTGATGCTAACAGAGCATGCAAGCAAATTTCCATTATAGCAGCATTATTTAACAGCAAAAAAAATGCTGACACAAATAAATTCTGTCCAAAAAAAACAAAAACAAAATGAAAATAAAAAAGCAAGAAAATATTAATTCCAGTGAAAAGTCAAGACATCTAAATAAGTACTATCTAGAATTATTTATTCTAAAAAGAATGAAAAGGACACAAAAAAAGGGGATAAATAAAAGAAAGAATGACTGCCTGATGGAAAGTGACTCAGTAATGATCTAAAGTAATCTGTGTTTTGTAGCCAAAAGGGGGCAGCAGACGATCTACATGGGCCATATGGAGTCTGTTAGGTCCTGATACAGAATGCATGAAGTGGAAATGGAGAGTAACACCGAAATATTTCGTCATCTTTCAGTAAAATGAACAGCATGTGAATTAATCTGAAAGATCATGCCATCACAAAAGACTGACAATTATTTAAAGGGGTCATATGATGCAATTTCAATTTTTCCTTTCTCTTTGGAGTGTTACAAGCTCTTGGTGCATAAAGAAGATCTGTAAAGTTGCAAAGACTAAAGTCTCAAATCCAAAGAGATATTCTTTATAAAAGTTCAGAGTCAGCCACACCTACCTAAAACGGCTCGTTCTAACACGCCCCCACATATCTACCTCACTATGTGGGAAGATTTGCATAACGCCGCCCAAATGTTCACGCAAAGAAAGAAGGCGTAACTTTTAGTCTCACTGTAGTTTTGTTGACGCTGCAGCCACGTCGTGAAGACGCTGTGTGCTTCGTTGTGAAAGCGAAACTACTTTGTTTGGTCTTCCAAAAGAGGACGATATCCGCTTCGTCATGCCTAGAGCTGATCTGTGCTGGTCGCTGAGGGAATACATCAACTTTCACCGTGGACGAAGCAGAGTCCAGCCCGGGGTCGTCACATGTGGTTGCCGC